ATGACAGCTTGGCGAAACCTTGAAATCGAGTATGATCAAGAAATTCTTGTATGCGAACATGCTGAAATAATGACGTTTTCGTTGCCAAAGGGTTCAATAATGGTAACGACCAAGTCTTCCCAGTCTCCCAGAAGGGAAGAGCAAACTGTCGGAAAAAATAGATACAACCATCCACCCACGGATCTGTGAGTATCCGAACAGTACGAATGGGGAGATGAAGAAGGTATAGTGCTTGACGTGGTTCGAGCTAACGTTACAATATAAGGATATCGTTAATATTAAGAAAACAATAACTATACCGTTAGCAAGGCGACAGTTTTGCCTACTGTAAATGGCACCCAGATACCGCCACCAATGCTGATATTGAGTATAAAAAACATCAACATTGCCTATCAAGAATGTTAAAATAAGAACAAGCAACAACATTGATGATAGTTATGACATACGTTCTGAAATACGGCCATGACAGGACCACGCAACCCGACGGCTAAAGCAAAGCATAAAATATCGAACTAAATATTATACAGAGTTATTACATACCTTCCAATGCTCCATCAAGATCCTCGTCAAGGTTTTGTTCTCTGTCTTCCTCCTCCACTTCTGCTGGCTGTTCTCCCTCTCTAACGGGTGGGTTGAGCGGCTGTCGAAATTCAACTTGAATCGCTGGAAAATCTCGCTGGTCGTTACGCAGTTCCTCTTCGTCTTCATCTTCATCTGTATCGGGCAAAAGCTGTGGGGCTCGATGAATACCTTTTGTTCGTTTAAGTTCGCCAACGGACCCAGCCTCTTCCATTTCGTCATCATCATCATCACCCAACTCAGGAAGACGAGTGGTGTCTTCATCCACAGGATGTTCAAAATAATCCACGTCATCGTCATCCCTTAAATCTTCAGGGGGTCTATATGTGGCAAGGCTCGGCGATACTAAGGAGGGTTGCTTGTGAATGTCCGCACCGGGTGTTTCAGGGAGTGGTAAAGAGGTTGCAAGGGGAGGGCGCCGAAGGGCTCGAACCGCGGAGTCGGACGACGGTGATTCATTGATCTGTAATGAGTCCACTGGTGAGGAGGGTTCATTATGTCTACTTTGGTCAGGTAATGGGTAGTCAAAGCTTGGTCTTAATATTCTGGACCCAAAGGAAACCGAGCCAGATGGAGTGGCTCCGGGATCCAAAAAAGATCCAACTTCTGGAGACGAGGATCGCGAATTCAAGTCATCTTTTGACAAAGACTGCTGTGGGGCGCTGAAGGTGAATTCGAAGTCAGATGGGGGTGAGAAAGACTCTCTTTCCGTAGCACCGGATGTTGAGAAAGTTTCGTCCGTGTATTCCCCTATATCAACTACTTTGCCCTTACCTTTCGATCCTGAAGGAGTCTGAGAGGTTTTCATTATGGAAGGAGGCTCGGATATGAGAGTTTCCTTCAATGTAGCAAAGTTGGATGGCCCCGCGATGGCAGGCAGCTGTTCGGATGGTCCATATCGTCGTTTTTGATGTCTCCTAGTCTCGGATTCGTCCGAATCTTCCTCCATCTCACTACGCCGACGACGTATGGTTTTTGAATGTCGACGAGCAGTGGATGTTCTCTTAAATGCCTGATTTTGTTCTTTCCCCTTTATTCTTTCTGTGTCAACTGAATAATACTTTCGTACCCGGCGTTCTGTGTCGGAAGACGAAGTAGAAGAAGGATCGGTCGCTCGAACATCTTCTGGGACATCCGGTAGAGGTCTAGGCGGAGCGTCATCGTCTGTTTCAGTCGTTGTATCAGTTTCAAGATGATCGTTCCTTGCTTCCGGTTCTTGTTCACCTGGATCAACTGGGTCGGCAACTTGGGGTGGGATAGGAATTGGCTCAGGTGCTGGTGGTTGTTGAGCAGGTACATCATCGTGATGAGGCACGACATCCGGTTGGACGTCATCGAAAATACCAGGTCGGGCGTTCTGTTGAATCCATTCACGCAGGAGAAAGATTGCAAGAAAGGCCAAAACTATGAGAGAAGCTATAATCTGACCAGAAAATATATCACTGGGAAGCGACTCTAGTAAAGGCTCTAGAAAGTGTTTCTTGAAAGTTGGCATTTCATGCGGAGGTCGGTATTGATACTCGGGTGGTGTTATTAGAGAGCCATTTGGATGTGGATGAAGGCTGATCGACCATGCACTGAAGATAATAGAGTGTAAAAAGTTAAGTTGCGTCTCAGCAGAAAAAAATACTCGCAGTATGTTTCCTATTCGAAAATATACCCGCCAGGTTAACAAAGTTCCGTATGGTAGCAATATTAGCCATACAAAAGCCACGAGTACTGTCCGTAGTACAAAAAGCACAACCGCAACTAATTGCTCGACAAATTTCCGGATTAAAATATGTAGAGGAACTTTATCAGGCATGTCAACTGCGTACACTGGCGTTCTCATATTAAGACAAATTCATGTATTTGAAAGTAATCAAACGAACCTTTCGTAAAGGCATATGGGTATTTACATACATCACATGTTGTTTTCTTGCTGTGGTCTAGCCATGTTTTGAGACTGAAGTCCACTCGCATCAAATACAAATATTTGGAGATGTATTTAAAACACTAACCAATCTTGGTGAATATATCGAATTGTGCCAGAACATTTACAAGGGTAGAATAATGGTTGATCTGGTTCTCCTGGCCCGCTGCATATTCTACAAGTGTCTGAAAGAATGACGACATGAGGACCCGCTTCAATGTCAGTTGGTAGCTTCTCACCTTGCTCCTGTTGCATTTAATAATTTCTGGTCCCAAATCAGGCTATTCTACCAGCAGGAACGCTTTTATCTGCCAGACAATCACAGCAAGGATTCAGCGGAGGAAAGCAAAAACAAAGTTTGCTGGAAATTGGGGAAGGGGAGTAGATTTTAGACGCTCAGTCACACGAGTTCCTCAAGTTGGAACATTCAATAATTGAATCGTTGGCACTGCACAGCTATGATGATTCTAAATTTTACTAATTATCTAGTTGACAGAATATAGAACTAGGTTTTAAATACGAGTTCCATAAACGTCTTTGGCACCAACGCCACCTTGGCCACGCGTCGCATTGGCTTGACCCCATCTGCAATATATCAGTTGTTATAGTTAATACAGATAGAAACAGAATAATACTTTTTGATTCGGATAGATTGGATCTTGATAAAACCTGTGGTATCGGTTGGTTCAAATCCACCTAGTTCGTCCATAGATGACTCATGCTCATCATACAAACGCTAGATATGTACTATAAGGAGTTGAAAGGTCATATTAGAAAGGGAGCCTACCTCGTTGGAGTAACGACCTTCTATTATGACGTTGCCTTTGTAAAGTTTTATTCGTACAGTGCCATTTACTGTGCGTTGGCTGCCTGGGATCGCGCTAGTGACAAACTCTCGCTCCGGGCTAAAAAAGTAGCCGTCGTAAAGGATTCGGCTCAGATTTGGGGTAATGAATTGGTCGCGAAGAGCTCGAACACTACGATCCAACGTAAGACCTTCAATGTCAATATGGGCCGCTCGGAGAATGGTCGCTCCTGGGGATTCGTAGCATCCTCGTGATTTGACCCCGATATATCTGTTTTCCACGATATCGATTCGTCCTACACCGTGTTTACGGGCGACGGCGTTGAGAGCATTAAAGATATCTACAGCATCTGTGTATGTCTTGGTTCCAATAACCACTTTAATCGGCAAGCCCGCTTTGAACTCAATACTCAGACTCTCAGGAGTATTCGGAGCCTTTTCAGGGTCAACTGTCAACTTCCACATATCAGCAGGTGGGGTGACGTTAGGGTCTTCCAGGATTCCTGCTTCATAAGAAATATGGTGCATGTTCTCGTCTACCAAATATATCAATAGAATTATCCCCATGTAAGGTCGTACGCACCGGTTGACCACGGTTTGGCAGCTGTCTGTTGGACAGGAATCTTCTTTTCTGCGGCATAAGCCAGCAAGGCGGATCGTCCAGCAAATCGGTTATAGAATTCTGATATTTATAGTTAAGAAACAATTCAATGAAAAGAGAAGATGCATACCAGGAATGCGCCAAGGGGCAATAACCTTAATGTCTGGTTTCAAGCCGTAGAACGCAAGTTCGAACCGAACTTGATCGTTGCCTTTGCCAGTGCACCCATGAGCAACAAAGCTGAGAAGGGGGTTTTAGCACGAAGTACAGATTCTACTTGCTGTGACGTACTCGCAACCTTCTCTTGCGGCCGTCTCTATCATTCCGCGGGCAATGACAGGTCGAGCCAGAGAAGTACCCAGAAGGTAAACATCCTTATAGGAATTTTCAGACTTCAAAAATCAACCATTGTCACTCAATTTCACGAACTTCATAAAGGCAATTGGCTTGAATGGCCGGGTAAATTAATTGTGTAACAAATTCGCGTTTAAGATCCTGATGATCAGTTGAGAATAAAAAGGAAAACACGAAAAGTTCTCTAGAGGTTTACCTCAAGGAAAAACTTCTTAGCACCAACGTTCAAGGCCTTTTTACGAGCGGCCTCAAAATCCTAAAACAAAATATACACCAGTTATTAAGTAGTATATGATGTTACCCACCTCTTCCTGCCCAACATCCGCCATGAATGCATATACTTCATAGTCCTGTTCAATCAACCAAGCGAGGATACAGGAGGTATCTAAAGATTGTAAGTTGACCTTAAGCAACTGAGATGATATAAATGCTATGAACACACCAAGTCCTCCCGAGTATGCGAGCAAAACGCGTCCTTTTGATTGTTTAGTTGAGGTTGACATGATGGAAATGGGTTAATCGATCGCAGACTCAGATATGACTCCTCGAGGCTGACTCGGATACTTCGCTAGGGTCTTTTATTTAATGAGACAGGCGCGCAAGAACCGAGCATTCTAAATAGACCTATACAAGTTGAATACTGATTTTATCTTTTTTTTTTCGGCAAAAAGCGATTTTCTCTGGAAGTAATAATAGCTGAACCAAACCACTAAACACCTCAAGATCTTAAATAACTTCTTAGCGAATATGGCAAGATGGCCGAGTGGTCCAAGGCGCCAGACTTAGGTCAACACCAAAATCTGGTCTCATTTGAGGCGTGAGTTCGAACCTCACTCTTGTCACTATTTCCATCCCCTCCGGGGGATGGAGTTTTTTTTAGACTAGAATCAAATGTCCGTTCTGGGAGGCCAAGCTGAATTCTTTTAAATATATATAATATATCCTTAGTCATCAATAGCAGAGTATCTGTCGCAGCATTATTGGAATGATTGACTCTAAATCTAAAAACAAATTGAATAAAAATATACATCATTCTCTAATTTGTGGACCCGTTGGAATACGAAGGGGGACCTGTTAACGAAATAAATGATTGCCTATATCTGCCTTACATCCACTCACCACTACGATTAGCTTGCAGACTGGCAATTAATGTTGACTTTTCATCATCTGATAGAGTATCCGCCAATCTTAAAACACCCTCAATGACGGCTTTTCGGTCTTTTTGAACCAGGTTAAGCAATTTGGTGGCAACGGTGTCTTTCTCCAATTGTTCGAGTGTCGACTCAAGATTCAGGTTCTCTAGGGCTGAAACTACTTGCTGGTGATCAGACAAATCAACATCTTGTAGGAGTGATTCCAACAACCGTGTACGATAGTCGAGGCTCGATTCGGGTGCGGCATTGCGAATGCGCTCTAGGGCGGACGATTGAGCCAGACGAGCGCGAAGAGCCCAGTAGAAGTATCTGCGAGCATTCTTCCAGGTCATCGGTTTGGCACAACCTTTGGCTTCCATGCGACCGGTACGACTATAAAAGACTTAGTAAAAACCATAACTTCCGATGCGTCTCGTAATACTCACTCATGCAGATCCACATACAACAACGCCAGTTGTTTATAGGATGGTTGTAAGAATGTTTCTCGGGCAGCTAATTGTTCGGCAGCCATAGCACGTTCTTGTGGTGATTTTGAGCTGTTTTGGCTGTCCTTTTTGAACGCAGCATATTGTGAATCCAAACGCTCCATCAAAGCAAGTATTTTCTCTCGACGGACTATGGCAAACAATTACAGTTAACACAAACCAGAAGTAAAAGAATAAGCGACATACGTTTGATTTCTACAACACCTTCGGGTTCTATTTATGGAGGTTAGAATTACTATGATTGCATTGGAAGACCAAACACACCTAAAACACCCGCTCTGGCATCGACGTCGGCATACATCTCCATCTGTTGCTTATTGATAGAAGGATCTAGTACAACCCAAGCGCCTCCTCGCTTTGGGAGAAGTATGAGCAACAACACTTAGTCTCATGTCAGGTCACTTACCAATTCACCGTTAGGCACTATATATACGAAGACGGGTTGTTTGTAACTAGACAAACCATCGACGATCTGTAGAAATATAGAAATATAAATGATATGAGCCCAAAGTTGTTTCCCGCCATACCTTCGACCCTTGCTTAAGAACTTCATCATACTAGTAGACGGTCAACGAAATGTCCATGATTCATGGGAACAAGAATAACATACCATATCTTGTTGACCTCCAGAGAAACCACGCCAGTTGGCGAATATAATCAATGGCAATTGCTCGCGATTAAAGTCAAAGATCGCCTGGGCTGTCTTGTAGGCTGAATTTGGATACCATACTTGTCCGGCCTCCATTATTCGCTGTTCGAAAGATGTGGGATTGGCGGGATCAGCAGGTATAATACGCTCGATGGTTCGGGCTACACTCTGCGTCAAACTGAATACATTAAACAATAAAAAAAAACACTTACTTTCAACGGCGATAACTCCCATAGGGATGCCACCTAACCGAGCACGACCGACAACCTGGAAGGGTGAAACAATGCTTCAAACATTTTTGAGCCAAGCACTTACGACAGTCTGAGCCCAACCACTCAAAGTCTCTTGGAAAGAGCCACGGTCGAAGAATCCGGATAACCATTCAGAAGATGCTTCATCAATTTTTCCCTCGATGAACCACCTGGGGTCGTGAGGTCCCTTAGGAGGGACGTATCCAATCTCACGATCCCACGAGTCTTTAGATATCCGAAGCGGGAGGGGAGCATTCTTGTGTTCGGGGATGTACGATAGCCATTCCAGTATATGTGTCGCTCCCTCCAAATCGCTACCCGCGGTAAGATGAGATACACCGTTCTTGTGCATGATTTGAGTACCACCGAGTTGCAGATTTGAAGTATAAACTTCTCTGCCCAGAACCTTGTTAAGTGCTGGCGCACCTGTTAAGATGATTGGTTGTCCCTCGACTTGCACAGCACGTTGCCCAAGGCGAACCAAGTATGCACCTATACCGACGGATCTCGCAGTGACCAACGTAATTGTGAAAATATCATCGTATGCACGGGATGTCTCGCCAGCAATCAATCCCGAACCCCTGAGGGATTCGACACCCAAACCTTCATGGATACCGATGATATCGGTAATTTTATGTCGTCGTTCGCCATTAACCTCGATTTCAGTCGTGATAGCACTCTTTCCTTGCAGTCTTAGGTAATTCTCGTGGGTAAGGTAGAGATAATCAACACCTTTTCCTGGATTTTCGGGGTCGTTCCAGGCGCATTCGAAGAGGGGGAAAAGCTCTTCGGCAATGCCTAGTCGTGCGCCGGAGTTAGCAGAGAGATACACTCGAGGAAGGCCATATTGACGAGCGTATTGGGAAACAAGATGGAAAAATTCATCTTCTTGAGGTCCGAAAGAACCGATTTTGAATGTGATGTCGTTAGCAATGACGACAATACGACGACCCTCAGAGAACTCTGGAGTGTATAAAGTGAACACCCAAGCGACCATACCGCATGAATTATTTCCGGGGGCGCGGTCAACTTCTTGAAGTTCCTTGTTTTCGCCCCAAACAAGTTCTCTATGCGTCAAAAATTGTTTTGGGAGGATTAATTGGCTGGTATCCCGAGCCTTCTGCCATAAGTTATGAAGAGCCTTGTTGAAAAGGTCTGGGAAATCATAAACATAAGTTGTACCGACTAAATGAGCTTGATAACGTTTCGGTTGAAGAGATCCCTTGACAGCGAAGGTTTGGTTTACAGGTCGACCGTGCAAAGGCCCTTTGTCGCCGATGGACTCCAAAACGGTAGTGCCTTTGTCATTTGTAACTTCTTGGTAGGCATGGAAATGAACCACAAAACCTGATACGTTCTCAATGATGACACGTATAGGAGTTACGTTCCCATCGCTGTCTTCAAGAGAGCATCGGATTTCAGCTCCTGTGACATGCAACCTCCATAATCGCTTGCCATGACGCTCGAGGAAACCAGCGATAGCTTCCAATACCTCGTCAAAGGTTACTGTCAAATTATATATAAAGTTGACACCGATGTGGTTACAATCCGCGCCACGGTACTTAGCACTAACAACCTGAAGGGCGTCGAGAATACTGCCTATGAGTCGGTCAGTTTCAGAGATCAGGTATTCCGCGAGAGTCAAGGAACTATTGAGACGACCCTGTCGCATAAGAGCTCGAACGAAGAAGCGACTGTCCAATGGATTCTCCCGGGCAACAGCATGGTAGATATGAATTTGCCTATTCTCGACGAAGCAGGGAGTAAGTTTATAGTTCGACAAGCGACTAAGTTCTAATTGGTAAGCTAACGCGGGTTCAATATTACGAATGGCTTCTTCTTCCGTCCAAGCACCGTTCATTTCGCGAAGGGTAACGAAATACGGATATTGGCCTTTGCGGCAGAGCATCAATGTGACTCTGCGTATTCCGTGTTGAATTAAAACTTCATTACGGGTATTGACCAATTCGATGAAATTGAGACGCCAACCTACTTCAGGTTTATCGTCCTCTTCGTCGAAAATTCGCAAGGCAATGTTAAGTACATTAGGTCGTTCTCGACTCCCGTGACGGCGGAAGTGATCTTCAATGTCCCAGAGAGGTACACGTGAAACGACTTTATCAAAACCACGCTCTAAAGCAACGAGATTTGGGAAGGACGCAATGGCACCCCATCGAATAGGTTCCGAGCGGTTTCGCTCTATTAAGAAGGTTAGGTCGCTAACAGAGCCCTGTCGCTGCGGACTGCTTGGATGAAGTACTTAATATTTGTTTTTCTCGGAGCAGAAAGCTGAAATAGGTTTACCTCGCGCCCAACTGCGGTGTCATAGGGGGTGAACTCGATTGACCTATCTTGAAGCGCCATGTTACAATATTTGGAGAATCGCCGTCATCTAACCCGTCGCCTTCTTCGTAGTCTACGGAGAGTAAAGTGTAAGCCCGATAAGCTCTTCGAGCGTATACCTCAAGTGCAGCTGAGTTATGTTAATACGAATTGTAAGGATGAACTATCCAAAATCACTCACCCAGTGCAACCCAGTTATCTTCATGAGCGAAGAATGTTGGAAGAACATCGTATACACCCCATCTTGAATCGCTTAATTCTCCCAATACATCCGCTACAGGGGCTCTATTTATTGGCCTTTTCTCAGAACAATAACTTCAAAATATAATTGGAACTGTATACCTGTGACCTAACTTCCCTTCGCCATAAACACTCGTGACCACGGATGCCTTAAGAATCTGTTCCATTTGTTGCGTTCTCTCTTCATAAGAAGGAAGCTGTGTAGCAATGAGGACTTCACGGGCCTTCAATGCGACGGCAGCCGCAGACCTGAAAAAAAAAACATCTAAGAGCAGAGTTATAAACAGTAAGCCGTATATACCCACCGGCCTTCCAATGCTGTCAAATCCTTGAGAACCTCTCCCATTTGATTGTCAGAAGTGACCAATGAGGCCGAACCACCCGCTTTGACGAGATCCAAAAGGGACATCATTAGTTTGTTCTTGCTTTGAGCTTTGGTATGACTCAACACATAAGCGGCAGCAGCGTCAAGGTTATTTTTATGTTGATCACGAAGAGTAAGAACACGAGATTCAATACTTCCACCGAAAAGTCTCTCTGTCGACTCATATTTACGAAGGAGACCAGCAATAGTATCCCATTCGTGGGTCTTCAAGCCGCTTCGATAGCTTTCTACGGTAGCGAATAACTTTGAGAGCTGTGACCGGAACATAGTTCGATCTTGAGGTAGAATGTTCTCGTTCAAATAATTATCCAATAGCTTCTTGACTCGAGCTCCGG